CCTATACTTTGTCAGACTCTTCCCATAGTTCAGAAAATTAATAAAATTCAACAGAATAAAAAATATTTCGTCAAAATTCATTTAAGCTGCTTCCCATACTTTGCCAGAATCTTCCAATATTTCGAAAAATTAATCAAATTCAACAGAATAAAAAATATTCCGTCAAAATTCATTTTAGCTGCTTCCCATACTTTGCCAGACTTTTCCCATACTTCAGAAAATTAATAAAATTAAACAGAAAAGTGAATTATTTTGTAAAAACTAATTTTGCTGCTTCCTATACTTTGTCAGATTCTTCCCATAGTTCAGAAAATTAATAAAATTCAACAGAATAAAAAATATTTCGTCAAAATTCATTTAAGCTGCTTCCCATACTTTGCCAGACTCTTCCCATACTTCAGAAAATTATTAAAATTAAACAGAAAAGTGAATTATTTTGTAAAAACTAATTTTGCTGCTTCCCATACTTTGCCAGACTCTTCCCATAGTTCAGAAAATTAATAAAATTTAACAGAATAAAAAATATTTCGTCAAAATTCATTTAAGCTGCTTCCCATACTTTGCCGGAATCTTCTCATATTTCGAAAAATTAATGAAATTCAACAGAATAAAAAATATTTCATTAATATTCATTTAGCCTGCTTCCCATACTTTGCCAGACTCTTCTCATATTTGAAAATTAATAAAATTTAACAGAATAAAAAATATTTTGTCAAAATTCATTTTAGCTGCTTCCCATACTTTGCCAGACTCTTCCCATAGTTCAGAAAATTAATAAAATTTAACAGAATAAAAAATATTTCGTCAAAATTCATTTTAGCTGCTTCCCATATTTTTCCAGACTCTTCCCATGTTTCGGAAAATTATTAAAATTCAACAGAATAAAAAATATTCTAATAAAGTAATTTTAGCTGCTTCCCATACTTTGCCAGACTCTTCCCATAGTTTAGAAAATTAATAAAATTCAACAGAAAAGTGAATTATTTTGTAAAAACTAATTTTGCTGCTTCCCATACTTTGCCAGACTTTTCCTATGTTTCGGAAAATTATTAAAATTAAACAAAAAAGTAAAATATTCTAATAAAGTAATTTTAGCTGCTTCCCATACTTTGCCAGAATCTTCCCATATTTCGAAAAATTAATAAAATTCAACAGAATAAAAAATATTTCGTCAAAATTCATTTTCGCTACTTCCCATACTTTGCCAGACTTTTCCCATGTTTTGGAAAATTATTAAAATTCAACAAAATAAAAAATATTCCGTCAAAATTCATTTTAGCTGCTTCCCGTACTTTGCCAGACTCTTCCCATAGTTTAGAAAATTAATAAAATTCAACAGAAAAGTGAAATATTTTGTAAAAACTAAATTTGCTGCTTCCCATACTTTGCCAGAATCTTCCCATATTTCGAAAAATTAATAAAATTCAACAAAATAAAAAAATATTCCGTCAAAATTCATTTTAGCTGCTTCCCATACTTTGCCAGACTCTTCCCATACTTCAGAAAATTAATAAAATTAAACAGAAAAGTGAATTATTTTGTAAAAACTAATTTTGCTGCTTCCTATACTTTGCCAGACTCTTCCCATAGTTCAAAAAATTAATAAAATTCAACAGAATAAAAAATATTCCGTCAAAATTCATTTTAGCTGCTTCCCATACTTTGCCAGACTCTTCCCATACTTCAGAAAATTAATAAAATTAAACAGAAAAGTAAATTATTTTGTAAAAACTAATTTTGCTGCTTCCCACACTTTGCCAGACTCTTCCCATAGTTTAGAAAATTAATAAAATTGAAAAAAAATAAAATATTGTAATAAAATAATTTTAGCTGCTTCCCATATTTTTCCAAACTCTTCCTATAGTTCAGAAAATTAATAAAATTTAACAAAATAAAAAATATTTCGTCAAAATTCATTTAAGTTGCTTCCCATGCTTTGTCAGACTCTTCCCATAGTTCAAAAAATTAATAAAATTCAACAGAATACAAAATATTTCGTCAAAATTCATTTTAGCTGCTTTCCATACTTTTCTAGACTCTTCCCATATTTCAAAAAATTAATAAAATTCAACAGAATAAAAAATATTGCGTCAAAATTCATTTTAGCTGCTTCCCATACTTTGCCAGACTCTTCCCATAGTTCAGAAAATTAATAAAATTCAACAGAAAAGTGAAAAATTTTGTAAAAACTAAATTTGCTGCTTCCCATACTTTGCCAGAATCTTCCCATATTTCAAAAAATTAATAAAATTCAACAGAATAAAAAATATAAAGTCAAAATTCATTTTATCTGCTTCCCATACTTTGCCAGACTTTTCCCATGTTTCGGAAAATTATTAAAATTGAACAAAAAAGTAAAATATTCTAATAAAGTAATTTTAGCTGCTTCCCATACTTTGCCAGACTCTTCCCATAGTTCAGAAAATTAATAAAATTTAACAGAATAAAAAATATTTCGTCAAAATTCATTTTAGCTGCTTCCCATACTTTGCCAGACTCTTCCCATAGTTCAGAAAATTAATAAAATTTAACAGAATAAAAAATATTTCGTCAAAATTCATTTAAGCTGCTTCCCATACTTTGCCGGAATCTTCTCATATTTCGAAAAATTAATGAAATTCAACAGAATAAAAAATATTTCATTAATATTCATTTAGCCTGCTTCCCATACTTTGCCAGACTCTTCCCATAAATAATTGTCTATCTGGACTGAAGTTAAGTGTACACCTTCAGTTGTTTATCTGACATTCACATATTAGAGGTGTGAAAATGAAGATCAACAAATGTAACACCCCATGGTTTTCTGTGTAGCAATAGCTGTAAATAAGAATCAGTAGTTAATGATAATTTACAAATTAATTTAATTAATTTAATAACATCCATAAATATTGCAAGATCTAATTTCGAGTTAATAGGTAGTTGCTGGACTCAAATCATTAAATAGAAATTAACGGGAATACAATATACCTATGTATCTCAAACGAAAACATTCGGACAAATAGTTTTTAAAAATTAGTTTACTCCAATGTTTCGAAATCTAAATGATTTTCTCTTCAGAGAGTCAATAAAACTATAAAATAATATAAAAAAAATATAAAATGATATACAACAAAATATAAAAATAATATACAAAAAAAAATTAATATACAAAAAAATAAAATAATATACAACAAAATATATATCTACTTATCATTCGACAATCAAAAAAAAATTATAAAATTTAAAAAATATATTAATTAAATAAAAAATAATTAGTCTAACATTCATTCATAAATAACAAAAAGGTTATGACCTTTTTGTTATTTATGAATGAATGTTAGACTAATTATTTTTTTTTAATTTATATATTTTTAATAATATTTTACCAAAAAAATTAGTAACTAAACATTTGTCATCAAAAAATAAAAATAAATTCACCCATCAAACGTCAGAGAAAACATAGAGTTTGGAGTCATAACTAAAATAAATGAGAATCGAAATTATAATTAAAGAATTTAGAATGAATAATGTAAAATAAAATATCAAAATTTTAAATTAAAAAATTGTTATAGTTACTTAATTAAAATAATAAATAAAATAATAAAAAATTAAGTTGAGAATAACATACCTATAAAAGATTATAAAACCAATTTTGTAATAAATAAATAAATAAACATTAACATCATAGTTAAATAAATAAATTAACACTGATAAACATGGACATTATAATGACAAACATTTATAATAACACACCACAGAAATTTTTTAAAAGTGCTTAAATAAATTAAAACAATCTCCCTTACCCTCTCCAATTCTGTTTGTGATGTTTTTAATTCAACTTTACCCCACCAGACCACACAAGCATATGTCAGCCTAGGGAGCAGAATCGCTTTATAGATCAACAATAGTGTATCCTGTTTAAGACCCCAGCTACTGCCAATGGCCCTTCTACATTGCCAAAGAGCAGCTGTAAGTTTCTTACATTTCTCCTTTAGATGCTTTTTTCAGAGCAGCTTTCTATCCAGTATTACCACAGTATTACCCCAGGGTTAACAGATAAACCCACCTTCTTACACCATTTATCTACCTGGTTTAATGCCTTTTGAGCCACTTTGAGTATTACATCAAGGTGGAGACCACGAACGATTAACAAAATATCGTCTGCGTACCCATTTGCATGATATCCTGCTTCAGTTAGGAGTCTCAGTAGTTCTTCCACTACCAGAGACCAAAGCAGAGGTGAAAGGACACCTCCCTGTGGGCATCCAGAATTGACTGTGCCTTCCAGGATTGAGTCCCCCTTTGAAGACTGGCGGTTTCTGTTTTCCAACATCTGACAAGTCCAATCAACAACTAATGTGGCGATATTAAAAGATATCATAGCTCTTTTAATGGACTTCGGAGAGGCCTGACTAAAAGCCCCTTCTATGTCCATAAAGCGGATACTGCTTTAAGATCTTACTGCGGATGTATCTATCCACCAGTCTTTCAACTAATTTTAGAATAAAACATGTGAAGCTAATAGGACGGAAATCCTTCGGTGAGGTATACCCGTTCTTACCCAATTTCGGTATGAATACAACTTTCGTACCTCTCCACGCTTTTGGGACATAACCCAACGTCAGACTTGCCCTAGCAAGTCTTACCAGTGGTCCCAGAACACTATCCACCGCCCTTTGTAACAGGTCAGGGAAGACGCCATCTGGACCCGGAGACTTGTAAGGACTAAAAGATTCCACGGCCCACCTGACCCTGTCGGCAGTCACAATCAGCCCGTGGAAGGTTTGTCAGAGGCACAAGATCGGGACCGCCCTCCCCAGTCTTCGAAAAGCCCGGAAAGTGTGTCTAGACCAGGTAGGCCAAGGTCTCCTCGTTCGACTCAGAAAAGCTCCTATCGGGCAATCTCATTGTGCCTAAAATTGCATCGGGGTTCTTAGCAAGCAGCTTATCAAGTCTAGCTGCCTCCTTCCCTTTTTCGATGCTAGAACAGAAAGCATTCCAACTATTTTGTTTTGCATTCATTATTTCCTTTTTTCCCTCATTTTAGTAAAATCAGACCAACCACTAGCCGTGCGCCTTTGCTTAGCACGCTTAAAAAGCCTCCTGGTTTTTTTCCTGAGACATTCTAGTTTCTCGTTCCACCAGCATGCTTCTTTTCCCGAAAATACTTTCGTCGGTTTGTAGCTATTTTCATAGGCTGCCTTAATGGTCTTTGTAAAATTACTAGCCACTTCGTCCAGGGTTTGATGATCTCTAATCCTACCTGGTAAACCAGAAAGTGTTTCTCTGAGTTCTGAGTTATACTTAGCCCAGTCCGTTTTCCTGGGATTGCGAATCCACTTGGCTTCCAAACGGACCGCAGACTCCACCTCAAAGACAATCTGTGAATGATCAGAAAGCGAAGGTTCATTAGAAACTCTCCATCTTCTTAACTTATTTTCAATACTTTTAGAGCAGAGAGTAATATCAATCACTTCCTGCCTAACAGCATTGATAAAAGTCGGAGTCGAACCCGTGTTAAGAATATCCAAATCCTTTCCGATTAGATATTCTAATAACTCCTGTCCTCTCTGGTTGTCCTTTGTGCTTCTCCACACCGTATGTTGTGAGTTTGCATCGCAGCCAAGCAACAGAGGAAGTCTTTTTTCCATACAATATTCCACCAACCTGCGAACTTCAATTAGCGAATTATTTTCATTATCATATGGAAAATTTGCAGATCCAATGACCGTCTTACCTATACCTTCTAGGTCAATTACCACTATCATCAGATCACCAGAACACAGATCCAACAGTGGATTTACGTTGATACCCTTAGTAAGAATACACCCTCTAGGTTTGGCAGCTCTACAATCCCTGTAACAAACAAGACCAGGCCCACCAAGTCCCCTAATAGCACCTCTTACTAACCATGGTTCTTGGATTAGCGAGGTGCCTGTGTGCATCCTAGTCATGCTCCTCATCAGTACTGACAAGGCGCCTTTACTATGATGCAAGTTAATCTGAGTAGCAGTGAGCTTTCATGAATTATGCTTGCACTTCTCCCGCCTCCGTATTACCAGAACCGTCACGATCAGGGACAGTTACCTTAAAGGTTACCCGCCTCATATGTTAGTACGGCCTGAATTCGAGAGCCTCTATGGCCGTCGCCTGACTCTCAGGGACCTGATCGACAAGAAGGAAACTCTTGTCATTCTTATCAGCCACCTGAGACCCATCGACATTTAGCAAGCGCCAGGTCGATGTCTTTAACGTAAGGTTGAAACCCTCCAGATGTCGCAAGACCGTCTGCACGTCGTCCGGTTCTCCTGGGATCCATGCAGTAGCCTTCACTATTCTCTGGAGTATCTCAACCCCTCCCACCTTCAGCTTCGCACCTTTCCAGGGACTGAGTTCAGCTACACGTTCCGTAAGACACGCTCTAGCCTCTGGGTTAGATGCGATGAAGACAAAAACTCCTCCTCTGCAGGAGGAGGCCTCAAAATTCGGCCACCGTTCAATCGGCTCCTTACAAGTGAGCAGCATGATGGCCTTCCTAAGAAGTCCAAACTGCCCCTCCGTAAGCACCGCATCGGGATAGCCCTCGCCGTAGACCACCATCGTCAGAGGATTCGTTCTTTGAGCCATTGTTAGCCCAACATTGTGACCATCTTTCCTGGCACTATGACGGACCGACTTTGGCCTTTTAGCATCCCCTTTTTCCAAGGGTGACGCATCCTGGCCGCTTTTTCTCTTCGACCCAGTAGCAACATCCGAAGAAATTGGGGAGCTTTCAATAGCTTTCAGCCGTTCTTTCCTCAACCGTTTCTTTTCATAACCCTACTTTTACGGCTTCAGCCGACTTAGGTTAGGAGTACTCGCATTCGCCTGGACATTCGGCCAGGGGAGAGGAAAACTGCAGAAAACCCACTTCCCGAGTACAACCGGTTTATTAACGTCGAGTCATGAATGTACATTTGGATAGGCATCACAAATGCACAAACATAGCCTCGGCGTCAAACCTCCCGTTTGATATATCTCGATCAGCGAAAAACACCGAGACTGTAACGATTCACTGAGGGTCACCCATCCAAGTACTAACCAGGCTCAAATGATGCTTAACCTCCGTGATCGCAAGCAACGGGATTCCGACAACCAAGCTATACCATCGGTTTATTATTAATTACTATTAACAATATTAATTATTTTAAATTATTGTTTAAAGTAAAACAAAATTTACTTTTAAAAAATGTTGGAATTATAAATTTAGTCACGTCCATGTGATAATATAATAATTTATTGTTAATTAAATTATCTTATAATTGACCCAATGAATTAATGGATCAATACATAATTGTTTATAATAATTAATTAAAAGTTGAAAACCTTAATTAACTAATGAGTCAATCAATTAATGTTTTCAACTGTTGTTAATTAATTATTATAAACAATTAGGTATAGATCTATTATTTCATTGTCTATTATAAAATAATTTATTAAACAACAAATTATTATAAACATTTATTATTATTCTAGAAAAATATATTAAATTGAAAATATTTATAATAATTTATTGTTAATAATCATTAGTTACAATAATAAGGCAACCTTATCTGAACCTTATAATGCCCGGATTAAAATTTCTGCACGGGTTAATTAATGGAAATAATTCAAAATCATTTTGTATGAACTATCAAAATTATCTAAATCAGTTACTTTATTGAAACTATTACTTCACTCTTTTTATAAAAAAAATTTCAGAGAAAAGTCTTTTACTAAGAGTAGGTTCAATATCTAGCACTTCAAATTCAACCCATTTTATAAAATGTGGAATTTAAATTTATACACACAGTTGCGCATTTATTATGTCTGTCAAGCTTATCCTTTTCTAGTTTAATAAAATTATCTAGTCTTGAATTAACACTAAAAATTGTTTGAATATTAAATGTTTCAATAATATTTTTATGTTTTCTCAAATTGATCCATAAGATGGAAAAACTCTTTTTATCATTATTATTTTTATAGTTATCTTTAATATCACTAATTTGGTTATTATTCAAGAGGTTCCTATTGTTAATTTCTGAAATCCGTTTTTGTATATGTTGATTTATAAATTTATCAGGGTAATTGTTTAGTTTTATATATAATTTATTTAAATTAATATTTTTATTATGAAAAGTTTTATTAGAAAGTTTTAATGATGTATCAACTAAATTTTTAATAATTGCAATTTTATGTTGTAAAGGATGGTTGGAATAATAGTTCAAAAGTCTACCTTAATATGTATCTTTTCTGTACCAATTAGTAATAATACCATCATCATTGTTGTTCCTAATAATTTTAATATTCAGAAAATTAATTTCTCTATCACATTCCAACTCATGAGTGAACTGCAATCTAACATGAAAGGAATTAAAGGCATCAATAATAATTTCAATTTTATTTTGTGGAACACATAGAAATGTGTCATCAACATATCTCTTATATGAGATGATTTCAAAATCTAAATTTCTAATAATATATTCCTTCAAATCTTGCATAACAATATCTGCCAGGATTGTAGAAATAGAAGAACCCATAGGAGTACCAAACTTTTGTCTGTAAAATTTATTGTTAAATTGAAAATACACATGGTTCATGATAGAAACTATACTATTTTTCAAATCATCTTTCGGAATTTTAGTTTCTTTCTCAATATAATGCCATCTGTCCTCAATTCCCTTCATGACAAGATCAATTGGAACATTAGTGAATAAAGAGAAACATCGAGAGACATCATCACATAATCCTGTGGAATTTTTAAATTTAAAATTGATTCTTTAAAAGTAAATGAAATGAATTTTTTTATATAAGAAGAAAGATTTAGTAAAGATTTAGTTAAAATTTCGGTGAACATTTTTGACGTAAAATAAGTACACAGGAAAAAAAAATTTGACTCCGTTTACACCTTAAATTCAGCCCATGTATTTCACATTTTTTTGTTCTGTCCTTGTTTAACGGAGCTGACTCCGTTTACACCTTAAATTCAGCCTCAAAAATAGGCTGAAAGTAAAACTTTTTTTTAGTGTATAGGGGAATTTATAGTCGAAACAACTGGTCTGAGTGGACAATTTACTTTATGAATTTTAGGTATACCATAAAATCTTGCAATATTAGTATTAGAAGTAATAATATCTTTCCTACTTATATTTTCATTGAGATAATCATTATTTCTGAGTTTGTTCAGTTTATTAAACACTCTTTTTTGTAAAGAAAATAGTGGATTTTCTAGTATCATTAGTTTTAATGTTTAAAATGTATAATGAATGTGCTAAATTCGACGTTTCATTAATTTTCTTTTTCAACTTGATATAACCATAGCCATCCTCGAATAAAATTTTAAAATCTTCTGATCTTAGTTTTTCTACAAATTGAAAAATATAAAAATAATTTTGTTATTTGATGAATACAACCTAATAAGGTGAAAAGGATACCTAAAATGGTAAATTCTTCTGTGATATTTGTTTTAGAACTTTTTTTGATATAATAAAGAATCGCAACTTCAGTTTTATGAATGTATAGTTAATATATACATACAAATCTATACGACAATCAAACTTTCGGTTCACAGTCTGGCTAAAAACTGTCCAGATTTCTCCATGTCAATTGTTTTTATTGATTGACAATTCGGTCGGGAAATTCGGATTTCAGTTTATTAAATTTAGTTGTTGCTAAGTGAAATTCTGCCATCTTGCATAATTTTTCCTTCCTTCTCATAATATCAAAAACTATTTGAGTAACGAGTCATTGAGGTGAAGCCTTCGGAATAAACATAAAGTCCGATGATCAGCATTTCGCATGTATGTAGTTTGTTTGAAATGCAAAAAAACTTACTTTTTTGTTCACATGAGGCACTCGATGTTTCGTATTTCTCCTTCACAGTTAAAGTGAAATTTCTTTTCCACGTCATCCCCACTCATCATTTGTACTAATTTCTAACAAATCTATACAATCCGATTGGTCTTTCCTGTAAGGCGATTCGAATCGAAGTGGTCCCCTTTGCGGCGAGCGCTCTTCTTTTATACCCCCCTCACGTCGAGTAACTAGTTGCACCTCATTGGTCGTCTGTACGCTGAAAGGGGAACTTGACGGTTACTCCCACTTTCCACATCTCCCATTGTTTTTCCATTCTCTCTCTTTCACTTTCCCTTTCTATCTTTTCCTCTCTCGTTTAATCGATCATTTAAAGGCTCAGAGTGACAATCGAATCCGCCTTCTAAATCGAATTTTCATCGTTCATATCGATGAGTTGCTTCTCGCCGATTTTTCCTGCATTCAAATATATATATATATATATATATATATATATATATATATATATATGCTCGCGAGTTCACGCTGAAAATTGCAGAAAAAACTAAATAAAAAGAAATGGAAGTCATGAATATTTCAGCGAAATCAAGCGCGAATATAAATATTTATCGCGCCACGATTTATGGCATATTGGGAACTCCTTTTTCTGGCAAGCGAAATGCAGCTTTTTTCTCTCTCTCTCTCTCTCTTTCTTTCTCTCCCTCTCCCTTACTCTACTCACTAGCTTATCCTTTGTATTATCAAAGAAAGATTTTTAATCTTATGACTCGTGAAAAAAGAATTTCTATACGATGTTCCTATATTTTATTTTAATTAATTTTCTTCTTAAATAGTATTCTCTACATTTGATTTTTGTTTTTTTTTAATTTAATTATCTTTAATCCGCATTTCGAGAAAAATGTTTTGAATGATAACGATTGAAATGTGTATTTTTCTCACTTGATATTTTAATGAAAAAAATAGTTCTTTTAATTAAATAATAAATTCTTCATTTCACTTAGTGTAGAATAATTTAATTAATTCAATTTTTGTTGAATGGTTATTTAAAATATTTTTGTACTTCAAAACTGAAATAACGCTTTGAATCATTTCTATTATTGTGGTTTCAAATTAATTTCAAATG